AGTGACGCTCCCTTCCCCCCCCTCCCCTCCTCGTGCCCCTCCAAAGCTCTCCAGGCGCAGGGTAACGTGCCCGTAGCTTTGAAGAGCCCTCTGCTTGGTTCCCCACTTCCCTTGTTCCCGGAGAAGGCAGAGTGGGGAGGTTCCCAATTTTATTCAGAGGTAGAATGATTTGCCCAAAGGCCTACAGGGAAGGGATGACCTGCAGGACCTTGCTCACCTGGTTCCCTGCCCAGAACCACACCGAATTCCAGGTAGAAAATGCTCCCTGGACATCTCTCTGCTTCCTCCCGTCAGGGAGCAGGAAGGACACAGAGCAGCTTAGCATGGAGAGGGGAGGGAAACTGTTGCTGTGGGTTAGCATCCTGGGAGCTGCAAGCCTGTGGCTTCCGGAGAAAGAGAAAACGTTATCAATAACCCAGAGGCTGCCTGGCTGGGAGCTGCTTCAGGAGCATGTGTCCTTGGCTTCTGAGCTAGGTCACGCCAGAGAAGCTATGTGTGCGCGAGTGTGTGTGTGTTCATGCACAAGGTGTGTGCATGTGAGTGCGTATACATGCACAGGCATGTGCTCCTGCAGGTGTGCATGTATGTGTATGTGTAGGTGCATACATGGAAGGAAGAGGACATTTTAAAGAGAATACCCATAATTTGATTAACAAAATAAACTGATGAATGGAGTGGATCCAGAGATTTGGAAACATGGAACAGAGTGTGGAATCTCAGAGGGAAGGCGGGGGTGGGACAGGGAGATTGATGAGTAGGAGATGATCAACCAAAGACCTTGTATGCATATATGCATAACCTATGGACACAGACTATAGGGTGGTGAAGGCCTGGGGTGGGGGTGTGAGACGGGCTGGAGGGGGTCAGTGGGGGGAAAGGGAGGCCATATGTAATACTTTCAACAATAAAGATTTTTTAAAAAGAAACTTAAAAATAAATAAATAAAATAAAATCCCTAAGAAGATGATGCTTATTGCCAAGGAAGGGAGCGGTAATGGTGGGCTCTCCGGCAGCAGCATTTTCAGCTGGGAGACGCAGAGGATGCCTGAGATGCGCAGATGCAATGGTGGATATTGGAGCTCCAAAGGTCCAGGCCTGGGCACTCCCTTGAGTGAGGAGAATCAGGATGGTGGATCTCAGGCTCCTAAACACCTGGCAAATGTCCCCAAGATGAGCTGGAACCTGGCTGTCTCCTGACAAGGCTGGGGAGAGGGGTCTTCTGCCATCAGGGAGACCCTCACCTCTCCAATATAAAGTGGGAGACAAGGAGGCGAGCCTGGCTTTCCTGGAATAAGCCAGAGGCAAGGGATGGGGAAATAAGGTCAGGGAGGCCCAGGGGCCATATTGCTTGGTGTTTTATAGGCCACTAGAGGCCTAGTGCATGAAATTCATGCATGAGTGTGGTCTCTAGGCCTGGCCGGTGATCGAAGCGGGAGCATCTGGTGTGGAAGGGCAGGTACCAGGTGACAACACCTGGGTCCCAGACCCCTGTACACGCCCCTCTGCCTGAGTCAAGGTGCCCGAGTTCCCACACGAGGCTGCGATGAGCGTGGCCAGACTCCGCGAGCTGGGGTGCAGCGTGGGCCTCTGGGCCGCCCAGTAGCACCACACAGAAGCTGGATGGACAGAGCGCTCTCTCCCAGCCAACCTCGCAGACCAGCTCCTGCACTAACCCACGGGGAACCCGACTGACCGGCCCCTATGGTCCTGGCCGCTGTGGCAGGTCCCAGTGGCTATGGCCCAGCTCACCCAGAAGAGGCCACGGTGGGGGGAGCGGGGGTGCAGGGGCGGGCTCCTCATGGGCACCAGCACCATGGGGGGGTGGGGGTGGGGGGCTTCCCTGGAGCCAAACCCTGGCATCCTGGGGGAGGGCAGTAGGGGGAGTGAGAATGAGCTCGGGGGACACCCTGCATTCTCACCACACCTCCATCCCCATCACCCCCAGGAAGCTGGCAAGAGGTCACAGCACGTTGCCATGGTGGTCAGCACACATCATAGCAAGCAGCTGAACTCCTGGTCTCCCAGTAGAACTCCCGGTCGAATGACCGCCCGAGGGGACAATTTGCATATTAGGCTTTTATTATATAGGCTTGTGAGGGACCTAAAACTTAGGCAATTTAGGGAGTCATCCTTTTAAAAATCAAAATTATAAATAAAAACTTGACTCGGGACCTTGGAGCCTATGCAAGTGAGGGGCCTACACGGTAAAACCTCCTTTGGACAGGGCAACAACTTCTGCTTTTGCCTGGAGTGAGAGGGAGCCATCGGAGGGCTCTGAGCTGAGGAGTGACCTGCCCCAAGTAACCTTTTCACAGGATTCATCTGGCTGCAGACTGGAGGCTGAATGGGGAGCAGAGGGGGGTGCAGCAGAGGGCCAGATTCTGAAGACAGAACAAAGATCTGCCGATGAGTAGAATGAGGCGTGAGAGAAAAAAGGCAGACAGTTGACCCTGAGGTTTGAGGCCTAATCCAGTTGTCTCCACTGCGGCGGGGAGGAGAGCGAGCACTGACCGGACCTCATTCCATGCAGGTCTGTAGCTCTCATCTCTTACCACCTCCCTGAGCCCGAGCTCTCATTCTTCTCACCTCACAGATAAAGAAGGCAATATACTTGGAGGTGGAGTATAACTTGCCTAATGTCACACAGCCAGTAAAGAGCAGAGCCTGGGTCCAAACCCAGTTTTCCCAACTCCCAAGACACTATCTGTTCTAATGCACCAGGAGAAGCAAGACGTGCGCCCCAGTAGCATGTCTGGTGGGAGAGGCCGTTCCTGGAGGGGAGCCCCCCGTTCCAGTGGCCACCCGGTCCTGTGGAACCACTCCACACTTACCCCCCAAAATCCTGCAAAGAAAGTTCTCGGCACCCTCCCTGCTGACTCCTCCCTAACCTCATTCCCATCCACTGCTGGGAGAGTTCAGCTGCAGCCCTGGAGAAATGTTTTTGGCATCTCTCAGGTTTTCCTAATTCACTGACAAGGTAATGACTGCCTCAATCCATTACATTTTCTAAAGGAATTTCTGCATTAGGATGCAAAGCAGGCTTCTCTGTTTTAGAGAAAACCTGAGATTCCTGGGATTTCATCTTCTGATTTAGCTCCTTAAATATAATTCATTGCATTTAAATTATAGGAACTGATGATCCCAGGTGTCTACTCCACGGGTCTAGTCTCCAAATGGGCCCCCCACCATCCCAGGAATCCATATGGCCTGGGTTTGTGTTTTTATTATCATTATGAATTTGAAGAGCCTTGGCTCATCATTTGGGATGCTCAGTTCTACTGTCATTTCCCTAGAATGGCTCGTGCCACTTTCTGCAGCCACTCCTCACGGGGAGCCCACGGGAAACGGGCACCGTGGTGGAAGCCCTGGCTTGTGAATCTCTCCCCATCTTGAAGCCTTGTTCTTTTCGCACCACATCCCTTCATCACCAGGAGCAGCACCTGGCAGGCCAAGCTGAACAGCCCTTGTGCCCTCCAGCCCTCCCCTAGCCCTCTGCTTCTGGCAAAACCTGCCGGCAGGAGCAGATACTTGATCTCCCATAGAAGCTGTGATGTTACACTGCCCCATGTGCCACTCACCAGACTGGAGGCTCAGGTTACAGCTCTAATCAGGGCTGCTCTAGCCTACAGACCCCATGCCCACCCCACCTGCCCACCCCCAAGGGACAGTCAGATCCAAGGCCCACATGGCCAGTGGAGATGGAGTGAAACAGGATCTGCACGGAGTCAGGGGGCTCACTGAAATGACCCCTCCCGCCCATGGCCTAGAAAGCATGGACTCTCAAAGCCTTCCCAGGCCATTCAGACTGGACAGAGACTCCCCCAGTCCTCAAACACCTGTATCTCCTTGCCCCCTAGAACTCACTTCCTTTCCTTGTCAGTAGTTTAAAAAGAGTCTGGACAGAGCCTGGGATCACTCCACAAGAGAAATGAACAAACCATGATCAATGTGGCCGGAGTTTCCAGGCCACCCAAATGTGCCTGATTCCTCCCCAGATATTTTGGGGCTGCACTTTACTGCTGAGAAGGGCTGGGGGAGAGGGAGAGATTACAAATTCAGCACTAAAAAAAAATTTTTTTTTTCTGCTATCAGAATAAAGCCAGGCCCACGAGAAATACTGTGGAGAAGGGGGAGGTAATGCAGGGCCACCTCGTGTCCACAGAAACACAGCAAAGCCCTCACCCTCTCTTGCATAAAAGACCCCTCTTGTTCAGGGATTTGGTGAAAACTGTGCACTTGACTTTGTGAAATGTGTGCTAAGATCTAGTCACTGCAGGAAATTCAATCCCAAGACCAAAACCAGGATGTAGCGAATTTTGAACTTAACCTGGCATCACCGGGAGACAAGGAACTCTAGCAGGGCCGTGAGAGCTCCTGGAGTGGCCCAGAAAACGGCACAGAGAATGGTCAGTACCTGAAGGAATGGCCAGAGGCAGGTAATGGGCGCTCCTCCTAGGGCAGAACTGGAGGCGCCCAAGGGATCGTCCAGTCCAACCCTCACTTTACAGTCAGGGGGACAGAGGCCTGGAGAGGGGAGGGTCACCCCAGTGCTGACTTCTCCCCTCATTGTGAAGCCACCTCCCACCTTAGATGGTCAGAGCTAAAAGGGGTCCCTCCAAAGTCGCCCAGCACCCACACTTTGCTGATGAGGACTGTATACAGAGATTCTGGAATTTCCCAAGGCATGAGGACCAGGATGGGCAGCCTTTCAAACTGCTCTCAATTGTCAGAAATGCCAAGAAACCTCATCCTCCAAGGGCAGCAGTTTCTGAACTTCTGTATTTTTAGCAGCAGAAGCCATCTCCGAACAAAACTTATACAAAACCTCAAGCTACAAAACAGATCAGGGGGCCACCCTCTGCAGGGGAGCCTGAGCCCGCCCCTGGCCTCCCCTTCCAGCACCCAAGACTCCTGCCCCAGGCCCCTGTGTGGAGCTCAGTCTAAAACCCAAGGCCTTGGGGGGCTTGTAGCCTTGGGTTTCAGATCAGGGGAGCTCCTAATTAAGACCCCTGGAGGGTGCGGCTGGTCTCTGAGACCTGGACAACTTCGTTTTCCACCAGGCCCTGGCCCCCATCCCCACTGAGCTGTCTCATGCGCAGGTTAATGGAGCCATAGGTCTTCCTGGAGCCCCTGTAGGGGACGAAGGTCGGCCGGCGGTAGAGCTCGCCCTTGCACAGGGAGATCATCAGCAGCACGGACAAGAGCATGCCGCCCACTGTGAGCAGCCCCAGGCCCGCGATAATGCACTTGTCCAGGTGGGAGCCCAGGCGGGCGTAGTACATCTCTAGTCGTTCCATCTCCCGCGCTGTCACCGAGTCCGGGTTGACATGGGCCTCACGGGGAATGGCATACGCTGTCACCACCAGGAGGATCCCACTCACCAGGAAAACCAGAGCAGAAGCAAAGCCATAATCCACCGGGCGGCTCACGGGCTCCAGGCCTGGCCCTTCTTCTGAATGCAGGGACAGGTCATCCCGCTGGGATCGGGGCCTTGAGGGTACACCCCCGGGAGGGCTGGGGGAGCTGCCGAGTCTGATGTCCCCAGGGTTCTGGAAATGGGTCTCATGCTCCTCCGAGGAGAAGCAGGCGTTCTCCACACCCTGCCTGGATGGGGCCAGGAGGCCTAGAGGAGCTGGTCTCCTTGGGGTCTGGGGACCACTGCTCAGTGTCTTCAGTTCCAGACCAGGGGGAGATGCCATTGGGAAGGAGGGGCCCAGCTCATCCCTTGGCCCCTTGGCAGCTGGAAGAGAAAACAGAAAGTCAGTAAAATTTAGCAAACCTCGACCAAGATCCTGCTGGTGTTGGACGGCACACTGGACCCCAAGCGATGTGCAGGTGAGCCAGGCACAGTTCCCACCAGGGGGAGCCTGCCAGAGAGTGGGGAGGTGGGATTGAGACAAAGACAATCCTTGCCGGGATCCTGCTCTACCACTGGCTGGCATGTGGCCCTGGGCAATTCATTTATCCTTTCTGGGCCTCGGTTTCCCCATCTATTAAATGACAGTACTACTACCCCTCCCTTATTTAATGGGGCTGATGTAGGGATTGAGATAATCCATATAAAGCTCTCATGACAGTAAGTGCTTGTAAGGATCAGCGCCGGGCTATTTTATGATGGAGGGAACTTAGACACAGTGGCTATCAGGTGTAAATCCCAGCTTCACCACTTGGGCTTGGGCAGGCAATGTGGCCTCTCCACCCTCAATTTTCTTATCGGTTAAATGGGAATAAGCGAAGTGCCTCCCTCACAGGGTCAACTTGTGGGTTTCATAAAATAATGCATGTAAGGCCCAGCCAGTTCAATTAATGGACACCATTGTGATGAAGTGAGGATGACAAGGAGCAGGGGAGGGATAGAGGTGATGACGGTGATGTGGGAACAAAGCAGAGAAAGTCAGAAAAGATTCTGGGAGTGGGTGGCATTTGAGCCAGATCTGAGAGGATGAGTGGGGATAGGGGGATGGGGTACCTCACAGGTCAGCTGGGAATCCACTCTCAAAGGTCTCTACACGTCAGGCCAAGGAGTCAGGGAGGTGAGGTGTGGGGACAGGGAGGACTGCCTAGGTTTCACAAAGCTCTTTCTGGCTGCTGTGCGGAGGCCAGGGGTCCAGGGAGGACTCTGATGTGGTCAGGGGAGGCATGGGTGGGACTGAGAGGAAGGAGCATACTTGAGAGCCACGCTGAAGTCAAAGCCAAATGCCTTCATGTAAGTAGAAGCTGGGGGTTGGAGGGGGCTGGCTGAGGACTGCAGATGGGGAGATAGAGGGGGAGGGGGAGGGGGAAAGGGAGCACGCTGCTCAAAGAGGAGGTGTCACACCCAAAACCAGAACACACTCCCGCACAGTCAGACAGGTAGACAGCACAGGTGCATTCCTGCCAAAGGATACCAATTTATGGCTCATGGGCCAATGTTGGCTCACAGAAGTTTCAGGGGTGTTTTTTGTTTGTTTGTTTCTGGTCTGTCCATTTGTTTTTGGTGAAGTATTTGCCAATATATAAAAAGCAAAATATTTTACATTTTAAGCTTTGGGTTCCTGGCTTCTCTTATAAAATGAATAATCTCAACACCCTAGGCACCCATGTCCTCACAACACCTCAGCTGAAGTTGATGGAGGCCTCCTGTTAGCGGATTCAGTGCTGCCCCTCCCAGGTCCCATCAAAGCCCCCTTCCCCACCTGGCATGTAAAATTCCCGGTCCCACAGCAGAACTACTCAGTTCCCCACACACCCGATGTCCTGGGAGTACATACCCAGGGCCCCAGGCACACAGACCCAAGTCCCCACACTGTACAGAGACCCTCCAGTTGCAGAGTGGCTCACACACTCTGGTGTGTCTACATACACCCATATACATGATTCTAGATGTTTCTGTGCACTCTCATGCCTAAATTTATTTTCCAGTGCATTGTTGTTCCGTGTGTGTGTGTGTGTGTGTGTGTGTGTGTGTGAGAGAGAGAGAGAGAGGGCGGGGGGGGGGGGGAGAGAGAGATGGGGCGGGGGAGGGGGGATATGAGTTAGTTAATGAAGTGAAAACTGAATGAAATGAATGAGTGAATAAATGAAACTCAAAGAGCCTCAGTGCAGGAAGACACGTTTTTCTATCTTTCTGATCTTTTTTCCAACATGGACTTGCATTGGACACCTCTGAGCTCACACAGAGCCTTTCATCTGAGTACAAAGCCTGTTTCCACTTACAACCCAATTCTATCACCACATTCTTCTTTCCTGAGTTCCAATTTAGTAAGTGTTTACTGAGCACCTCCACGCCCTGTTGGGCCCTACACTGGTCACCAGCCCCGAGCGCAGGAATTACTCTCTCCACTTGACAACACGTGGCCAAGGTCCCATGCGTGCGTGTGGGCACCCGAAGGCAAGCACAGCTTCTTTTATCACCTGCAAACCTGCAAACCCACACACTCCTGCACCAGCGGCATCATTCCACCCGCCCTCGCTCTCGACTGACTTTCTCCCACTACTTATCAGCCACTATGAGCAGCTTGAGGGCAGGGAGGGATATGTGTGGATTCCGTCTGGATCCCCAGCCCCCTGCCCAGGGCTTAGAACACAGGCAGCCCCCAGGAGTGGCTTGGCAACCTGCCCAGGGAGACCATCTCTCCCACACAAGGATAAGGGAGGCCAACTCAAGGCCAGGCCCAGCCGACTGCTCCCACTCCCAGTAAACGGAGAGGAGAGATAGATTGTTTGGCTTTTCTATTCTTTGCACCAAACGCATTTTCCTGAGTGCCCTGCACAAACAGGGAGTGGTGATGACAGCTGCTGCCCAGTGGATGTCCAGATGTGCCCCCCACCCCCAGTTTTCAGCAGTCTCCAGAGAACTCAGCTCCTGCAGTGGCCTGGGAACCACCTTCCCAGCTTGGCACACGGATGCCTCCGTGTCCCAGAGGAAATCCAGGGCACCCAAATTCTGGCAGCAGGGCTTTCACCAGCAGGAGCCCGAAACTTTTTCCTCAGGATGCCAGAGTTAGGAAGAGGGCAGAGAAAAGGGGGACTCGCTCTCACAACAGGTTCAGAGATGCCCACATGCCCAATCAATAACCCAAAACATAAGGAGAAATGGACAAACTGACAAAGATGCTGGAGTCCACTGCTCACATGGCAACTGTCCCAACGACACTCCAATTTCACCTGCAGTCCCACAAGACCTGAGAGGCACCCCCCAGTCCTACAGTCACACCCCAGGGGCCGTTTCCACCCGCAGCACCCACAGACATGGGGAGCCACACGGTGTGACCCACAGATTCACGGGTCACACAGGCAATCACACCCAAAAGGGATAAGGCTGGACACACACACACACAGTTAACTACCCCCAGGACTGCCAAGGTCTACGCCAGACCCACCCGGGGCCCAGCACCACCACCAACCCGCGCGCACTAACACGCGGAAAGACAGACGTAGAGCCGGCGTGGATGAAGCTTCACAAAACCCAGTCGACAGATACACGCTCGAGTTGTACACAAAGACTTGGGGCGCGCACAGACGCACACGCAGATCCACGCTGTTACACCCAAAGTTCCGCTCAGGAAGCGCCAACACCCGACTGCCCGCCGCACCGGCGCGCCGCCTGCCCGCAGCTCACACCCCCTGCTCCTGCCCTTGACCACTAACGCGGCCGGGCCGGGCCGGGCCGGGACAGACGGAACCGGGCCGAGCGGCGCCGGTAGCAGGACTGCCTGGCGGCCCAGGGAGACCAGGTCCGCGAGGACCGGCGTGCGCCCGGGTCCCCTCGCCGCGTGTCCTTCGGCCGGGCCGCGAGGTCAGGCGAGCTCTCCTCGCCGCCCTCCCCGCCTCGGGCCTCCGCCTCCCGCCGCCCCGCAGTCGTCCCCGCGGGCGTACCTGTGCCGGGCCTCCTTCCCTGCCTCCCCACGCGGGCGGCTCTGCGCCCCGCGGCCGCGGACGAAGGCGAGGGCGCGTCCTCCCCGGCGCCCACCCACCTCCCGGCAGCCGGCGCCCGCCCGCCGGAGTCGCCGCTGCGGCGCAGCCCGGGAGGCGCGGGCCCGGCCGCCACCCTGTGCCTCCCGCAGCTCCCGCCCCCTTCCCGGCCCGGCGCGGAGCCGCTGCTGCCGGGGCGCACGTACCTGCTCGCGCCGCGCGGGGCTGCACGGCGGCGGCGGCCGCTGGGGGCTCCGGGGAGGAGGGACGCGAGAAGGGGAGGGAGCCGGGGATCGCCGAACGCAGCGGATCGAGCTCCGCCCGCGGCCGGCGAGGGCGCCCGGAGAGTTAGCGTGGGGAGGGACGGGGAGGCCGGGAACAGACGGGGGTGAGGAGCGGGGGACATGGCGCCATCCTCCTCCCCTCCCCTTAGGGCTTATCTGCCGAGTGGGGGGACCGAAGCTCCAGGGCGCAGGGGCGGGGCCTGGGAGGGGGGCTGCTGAAGGAGACCCCTCCCCCGCCGCTTGCCAGTCTCCACGGCTGGGGCGCCCCGACTGCGCCGATCTCAGACGCCGCCTCCCCGCCCTAGCCCTCCCCTCTCTGCCCGGCACACAGACCCCAGGTAGGACCTGGTCCTTAGGTCCCGACGGTCTTCAATGACTCGTGCGGCTCCGCGGCTCGAGGGCGCCACCTGAAGGCTGGAAGAAAGCCATTGAGACACCCCCACCCTCCCCACCACCAACCACCTTTCCCTGCTCTTCTTTCTCAGTGGGACAGTGGGGTGCACGGCCCCAGCGAGGTGCTCTCTTGGTCCCCGGGAGCCCAGCGCGGTGGGTGTGAGTGGACAGGTGGTGAGTAGGGGTGACTTTCACGGCTTTTTTCCTCTACAGGGTCTCGGTTAAGGTAGATCAAGTGAGGTGCCCAGAGCACAAGAGTTAAAGAGATGCTCCTCGTTTTGGGCGCCCAGGCCAAGTCCAAAGAGAAGTTTGGTCTGAAGGTCATGGGCTCCTGGGAAGACTCGGTGGCCGCCAGCGTGGCCTCAGGTAAGTGCTCTTGTCTGTGAGCCTCAGTGTTCGCCCTGCTGATGGGATCCTGAAAGTGCAGGCTCCCGGGCCTCTGAGGGGTTAGCAGGGGTCCGCCATCCGGAAAGGTAAGTAGGGGTGGAGCCCTGCCCTGGCTCCTCGAGCCACCTTATTGGAGAGCCTGCCCTGCCCTGCCCTGCCCTGCCCTGCCCTGCCCTGCCCTGCCCTGCCCTGCCCTGCCCTGCCCTGCTCTGCTCCAACGGCCTGTGCGGTTCTCAGCAGCCAGGAGGGTCCTCAGCAGCCAGGAGGGTTCTCAGCAGCCAGGAGAGCCAAGGTCACCCCGGAAGCCAGATGTCTGGGCCTCCAGGGTTGAGAAGGCTTCGGTCTCTGTGTGCCTTCCAAAGGGCTGGCTTGTCAGGGACTTCGAGGGGAAGCTAGCGGCAACACCTCACTCCAGAGCGAATCCCAGCGCTGCCGCTCACAGCTGTGTGGCCTTGTGCAAAAGGCTCCCCTCGCAGAGCTCAGTTTCCTCATCTGCCAAGTGGACGTCGTAAGGGTTTGGGGGATTAGATGAGATACTCCCTATAAACCACGTACATTTTCCTCCCTCACTCACGCACAGCCCCACCTCAGAGCCATTGCCTTCGCTGTCCCTTCTGCCTGGGACACTTCTTCCTGAGATCCCCAGGCTCACTCTCTTACTCCTTCACGTCCTTGCTCAAGTGTCACCTTCTCAGAGACTTCTTCCCAGACCATCCTTTGTTTTGTTTTGTTTTTAAATATGTTTTTATTTAGTTTAGAGAGAGAAGAAGGGAGAGGGAGAGAGAAACATCAATGAGAGAATCATTGATCTGCTGCCTTCTGCACACCCCCTACTGGGGATTAAGCCTACAACCTGGGCATGTGCCCTGACCAGGAATCCAACCGGTAACCTCTTGGTGCATCAGGACGTTTTTGCTCAACCAACTGAGCCACACCAGCTGGGCCCCAGACCATCCTTTGAAAAATAACATGCCCCAGAACCCTTTACTCCTTGATTTTTTTTCTCCCTAGATTGATCGACTCCAGACACTAGCTTCTCTTTGTTAATTGTCACTCCTACCAAAAATAATTGCAGGAGGCAGAGGCTTTAGCTGTTTCCCTCCCTGCTGTATCCCTAGAGACGAGAAACAGAACCAATACATTGGAAGCCATTAATAAATATTTATTAAATAGAGAATGGAGAAAATAGGCAAATATTTACTGAGCATCTATTGTTTCCCCCTTTTAAATCAGAGTCACCCATAGGCTGTGCTACATAGCAAACACTTATTTTCACAGACAGCATAAATCTAGGGTACAAATAAGAATTATAGGTCCACAGTCCCTTTATAGAGACCCTTGTCAGAATTTAGAATTTTAAGAGTTTAGAAAGATAACATGATACTTATACTACAATTTATAGACTACACCAATGTTGTCTGGGATAGCATCCCCAAATGAATGGATATTCACACTAAGCGGGCTGGATAAAGACACAAATAGCCTCTTATCAGTTCAGGAAAGGTTTTGCCACAAAATCACTTGGAGAAGAGAACTTAGAGCTTTGGGGTTTGGGAGTTCTGGATAAGGAACTGTAGATACGTGGGAGAACAGAGTACTTTCAGGCTGCCTGAGGCACCTCTCTTGATGTGCAGTTGATATGTTTGCTATTGATATTATTTTCTCCTAAGAAAAACTAGTCCGGAATGAATTGCTAGTAATCATTTGAGCTTAAAAATAAGACATTTTAAAGTAGTTTAGCTCCAGCTGGTTTGGCTCAGTGGATAGAGCGTCAGCCTGTGGACTAAAGGGTCCCAGGTTCAATTCCTGTCAAGGGCACATATCCAGGTTGCAGGCTCAATCTCCAGTAGGGGGGCGTGCCGGGGGTGTGCAGGAGGCAGTCGATCAATGATTCTCTCTCATCATTCATGTTTCTATCTCTTCCTGAGGCAGTCGATCAATGATTCTCTCTCATCATTCATGTTTCTATCTCTTCCTCCCTCTCCCTTCCTCTCTGAAATCAATAAAAATATATATATATATATATATTTTAAAAAAAGTAGTTTATCCCAGCCAGTGTGGCTAAGTGTATTGAGCATCTTCCCATGCACCATGAGGTCACTGTTTTGATTCCTAGTCATGGCACATGCCAGGGTTGCAGGCTGGATCCCCAGTAGTGGCTGTGCAGGAGGCAGCTGATCAATGTTTCTCGCTGATGTTTTTAATCTCTCTCTCCTTCTCCCTCTCTCCAAAAAATCAATAAAAACATATTTTAAAAAGTAGTTTATAAAATCAGTTGTGGCCCTAGCCGGTTTGGCTCAGTGGATAGAGCATCAGCCTGCGGACCCAAGGGTCCCAGGTTCGATTCCGGTCAAGGGCATGTACCTTGGTTGCGGGCACATCCCCAGGAGGCAGCCGATGGATGTTTCTCTCTCATCGATGTTTCTAACTCTCTATCCCTCTCCCTTCCGCTCTGTAAAAAATCAATAAAATATCTTTAAAAAATAAAAAAATAAAATCAGTTGTGTATAGGTTGCCAGTAAACCCCCCTTGGTTGGTCTATCTATCTGAACAAATGAAAAATCAGACTTATGCAAACCTGTCACCCATTTCCTCACTCACTCATTCTTCTGTCTGTTTTGTTTACCATCATCCCCCCACCCCTTTCCTTTACCCTATTTTTTCAAGCCCCAGTTTAAATTATACCTTTCCTATCATCTCAGCTCCAGGCGTCTCAACCCACACTGCTCTTCCCTTCCCTGCTTATTTTACCTGAAATCCTGTTGTCTATGGAACAGGTCAATCATTGTTTTATGCACATTTGTTTTAAAAGCTTTGTTTCCCCAGCAAGACTATATCTGCCTTAAAGGAAAGACAGGAACTATATTGTATACTTCATCTGCATCACCCACTGTATCTTTCATCCACAGTGTTTCTGTAACTTCTATAAATAAAAAGAGGAACTTTGTAAAACATGAGTTTTGGGGTCAAGTGAATTTGAGAAATGCTGAATAATTTGTTCCCCTGTCGGAGATTTGCAAAGCATATTGGCCTTAAAGGCTCTAAGGCAGTGGTTCTCAACCTTGGCTGCACATTAGAATCACCTGGGGATCTTTTTAAAATCCTGATTTCTGGGCCTCATCCTCCAGAAATTGTGTTTCTTTGTTACTAATGTTGTGGCCCCACCCCATAACAAAGAAACAGAATTTCCGGAGGATGAGGCCCAGAAATCAGGATTTTAAAAAGATTCCCAGGTGATTCTAATGTGCAGCCAAGGTTGAGAACCACTGCTCTAAGGAGTCCTTCTCTAAAGAAACCTATATTAGCTTTATTAACCACACATTTCCTATTCACGGTTGACCTCAGAACTCCCCTTTTCACTAGGAATATCCTGCCAATTTTTTTTCTTTGTTTAGTTTTTTCCATTTATTTTAATGGGGAAAAAAATCTGTTTACCCCATATCTTCCCCTAACCCCCAACCCCCACCTCTGGCAACCACCAATATGTTCTCTGTACCTATGAGCTTGGATTAATTTATTTATTCATTTGTTTGTTTATTTATTTACTAGAGGCCTGGTGCATGACATTCACGCACTGGGGGTTGGGGGGTCCTTCAGCCCTCTTGCAGTCTGGGACTCCTTGGGGGATGTCTGCCAGCCAGCAGTCAGACACCCCTCTTGCAGTCCGGGGCTCACGCAGTCCAGGACCCTTCACTCTTTACCGCCCACCTGCAGCGGAGGCAGGAGGGGCTCCCACTACTGCTGCTGCACCCGCCAGCCATGAACCCAGCTTCTGGCTGAACAGCGCTCCCTCTGTGGAAGCACACTGACCACCAGGGGCAGCTCCTGCATTGAACGTATGCCCCCTGGTGGTCAGTGCGTGTCATAGCGACCAGTCGTTTTGCCATTATGTTGATTTGCATATTAGGGTTTTATTATATAGGATAGATTCCACATATAGGAGAGATCATATGGTATTTGTATTTTTCTGTCTGACTTATTTCACTTAGCATAATACTTTTGTTTTTCAAATATGTTTTTATTGATTTCAGAGAGGAAAAGCAAGGAAGAGAGAAATAGAAACATCAATGATGAGAGAGAATCATTGATCAACTGCCTTCTGCATGCCCCAACTGGGGATCGAACCTGCAACCCGGGCAGGTGCCCTGACTGGAAATCCAACCATGGCCTCCTGGTTCATAGGTTGATGCTCAACCTTTGAGCCACATCAGCTGGGCAAAAATTCAACTCTTGAAAGATAAAATAGTTTAAAATTTTATTCTGAGCACAAGTTTAATATCTTTCTTTAGTGATATGCTTTTATTCCTTTCTCTTTGCCTTTTGTGTATTTACTATAGGTTTCACTTTGTAGTTATCATGAGGCTTACATTTAACAACTTATATCCATAACAGTCTATTTTAAGTTGATAACAACTTACGTTTGATGCCGTTTTAAAATTCAATATTATTACTATCCCTCACACATTTCATTTTTGATGTCATATTTTATCTCTTTTTATCTTGTGTATCCCTTAAATAAGTATTGTAATCCTAGTTGATTTTACTACTTTTGTATTTTAACCTTTATATTAGTTTTATAAGTGATTCATTCACTACTTTCCAGTGAGATTTATCCTTTCATATATGTACTTGCACTAACAAGTGCCTTTTTTTAGCTTAAAGAGGTTCCTTTAACAACTGTATATATACATTACTTTAACATTTCTTGTAAGGCGGATTTAGTGGTGATAAACAACTTTAGCTTTTACCATTCTGGGAAATGCTTTATCTCTCCTTCACTTCTTAGTTGGAAGTTTTATTCTTTTAGCACTTTGAATATATCATACCATCTCTTCTGGCCTGTGAAGTTTCTGCTGAAAGATCTACTTATAGTCTGATAGGGGTTCCCTTGTACATAGTAAGTTATTTTCTCTTGCTGCTTTTAATATTCTCTCCTTAGCTTTAAATTTTGACATTTTAATTATAACGTGTTTTAGTGTAGGTCACTTTGGGTTCCTCTTGTCTGGAACTCTCTGGTATTCCTGGGACTGGATGTGTTTCCTTCCCCAAGTTAGGGAAGCTTTCAGTCATTGTTTCCTCAAATAATACTTCTGCCCCTTTCTCTTTATCTTCTCCTTCTGGGAGCCATGTTTGATATCTATATAAATATCATGGCTATATATATATATGGCTAATATGCAAAGTGTCCCTCAGGAGTTTGACCGGGAAACCGGGAGTTTGATCACTTGCTATGACGTGTGCTGACCACCACGGGGTGGCACAGAATGAAGGAAGGCCCCAGCCAGCAGCCAGGGAAGAAAGGCTCTGGCCAGCAGCCAGAAGGCCTCGATTGGCCCTGATCGCCGGCGAGGCATAGAGACCCTACCCGTACACTAATTTCGTGCACCAGGCCTCTGGTTGTCCTATAAGTCCCTTGAGCTATCTTCACTTTTTTTATTATATTCTTTTTTCTTTTTGCTGCTTTAACGGGTAACCACTGCCTTGTCTTCGAGTTCACTGATTCTGTCT